GATTCCTTCTCCCAGGGTGCAGCACCCTGCATTTATCTACATTGAACCCCATTCTATTCTCATCTGCCCACTTCTATAGTCTGTCTAAATCTATTTGCAGCCTCTCTCTCCCTTCAAGTGTGTCCACCTCTCCCCACATCTTAGTGTCATCAGCAAACTTGGACAGCGTGCTTTCCACCCCCTTGTCCAAGTTGCTGATGAAGATGTTAAACAGTGCGGGCCCGAGGACCGAGCCCTGGGGTACCCCACTGCTCACATCTTGCCAGACCAAGCAAGAGATAAAAGCCATCTGGGCTTTTCCAGCACACAATTTCAATTTTGCATTATTGTTTTTCAAAGTTCTTTTCGAAAATGAGCACATACAAAATAGCATAGTTATGTGCCTCTCCCCCAAGGAAAATAAGAGCAAGCTTGCCTATCATTTACTAGCATGGTAAAGCTACATGATAGACAGCTCTTGAAGACAGGTGATTTAGAATCCTCCACAATAAACAGTAGGCAGATGAGAAAAAGACAAAGAAAATAAGACTTATGAACAAACAGGCAAAAAAACCCCCAAGTCTAATTTTGCTAACACTGAGAAGTAAACTGAAGCTACATCGCATGGTTAAGAGGAAAATGAGCAAAGCAGGTGTTACATTTCTCAACTCTGATGTAAGGAAAGATGTCTTCAGTAGGTTGGTTCTAGCTTTTAAACTCTTACTTATCATGGCCAACAGCTGCAGCGCCACCCCTGCCTCTCACAGCCACACACATGCACATGTGCATACCACCCCTCTCCCCCACCTCCCCAGGTACTACAGCTGAAAAAGAATATGGTCTTGTATGCCTGGGACAAATAAGCCTGTTTAGAGTAAAGCCTGAGGGCAAGTCGCACCATATCTTGAACAGAGATGGGCTTACTGACAGAGAAGTCTATGTTATTATACTATATGCAAGTTACTTTACCTTTACCTGCAAAGTTTCCATATTATAAAATTAGAAAAGCTGGACAATAACCTGTTGCTTTGCAAGCATTGGAAGAATAATGTCTGCTATTTGCCGGGACAGCCTTTTCCATTTGTCTTCATTCTCTTTGTGACACTGCTGCAGTACTAGGATGAACATCTCCAGCACCTGAAAAAAAAAATCAGCAAAGGGACAAATCAATAAAAATGCCACGCACTTTATTTAAATATTACAACTAGAAGAAAACAAAACAAATTATGAGATGTTTCAGAAAGGTGATTTATCATGTTAAATCTTAAAACCCTAGAAAGAGAATACATGACTGGGGAGAATAAACTACAAAACAGTGAAAAGGTTCTGGATGACATTAAAAAAAAAAAAAAAACACCTTCCTCCATTATTAGATTATGATAAAATAACCATTTCTAGTATCTTTTACATACTGTACTTAAAAAAAATAAAAGCAGTAGAGCTCAACCTACAGTCAGTTCAAGACAGGTCTGGCTCTCTGGGCCATGTCATTCAGCCCATGTCATGGTGGGCAGGCAGTGGTGGGATCCCACGTGAGATGGCAGGGGTGTGGTAACAGCTTTAACTGATGAGGCTCCTTAAACCATGGCAATTCTCATTGTAACTGCTCCCCCCCCTCAAATATCTGGATCCGTGTGTTTGGGCTGCAGGGTCAGTCTGCAGCCAGATCTGACATGCAACATCCAGCCCAATCTGGCTCATTGGTCTTACAGGTTGATTACTATTGAATTAAGAGCAATTGTTCTGCTTTTTAAATCCATGGTTCTTCTCAAGTAGTTACTCCAACAGTAAGACAGTGGGAGATGTAAAGGCATGATTAAGCAGCAAAAAAACCCAAACAAAAACAAAAAAACCAGATATATGGTTGGGGACTCTTCACATATCAGAAGGGGATCTGGCTCTCACCTCTTACATCCTCAACTGTATTAATGTTTACAGTGCTAATCATTTCACATTCTGAACGGACATTTTCTCATTACATGAAATTGCTCTAAACACTTTATTACTCAAGATGAAAATTAAGAGTAATGGCAAAGTACAATCCAACTGCAGAAACTAAATCTCTACCTGAACCCTGGCATATTTCTAGCAAATTCTATACCTGAACTACATTAGAAAGAGTTCTCTTTCCAACTCTTCTCAAAAAAGGTACACTGATCATTAACATGTACAAGAGCAACATTCCAAAACTAGATGAATTTCAACTATAAAAAGTGGTAGGGCAGGGTGGCACCTTGGAGGATATTAATTTAATTTCAGAGAGGTAAGAGCTTTTGTAGCCAATCTACTTCAGTCAATCTCAGCCTCCTTAAACTCAAATGCCTGCTCTTATGTTTCACTCATTTTGTGACTACAGAAACATAATAGAGCAATTACTCTGTGGCAAATAACTCAAAAACAATGCAACATGTCACTACAGATAGAAGGGACTTGGGGGTCAGGATTGACCACAAGATGAACATGAGCCTTCAGTGTGATGCTGCGGCTAGTAAAGCGAGCAAAAAGCTGGCTTGCATCCATTGATGCTTCTCAAGTAAATCCCGGGATGTCATTCTCCCATTGTACTTGGCCTTGGTGAGGCCGCAGCTGGAGTACTGCATCCAGTTTTGGGCTCTGCAATTCAAAGGGATGTGGAGAAGCTTGAGAGGGTACAGAGGAGAGCCACACGCATGACCAGAGGTCAGGAAAACAGACCTTAACATGAGCGGCTGAGAGCCATGGGGCTCTTCAGCCTGGAAAAGCACAGGGGTGATCTGGTGGCCACCTATAAGTTTATTGGGGTGCTCATCAGGATCTGGGGGAGCATCTGTTCACCAGAGCACCCTAAGGGATGACAAGACTGAACAGTCACAAACTGCGCTGCGATCGATTCACGCTGGACATAAGAAATAACTTCTTCACTGTCCGAGCCCCCAAGGTTTGAAATAGACTGCCACTGAAGGTGGTTCAAGCACCCACTTTGAATGCCTTCAAGACACATTTGGATGCTTATCTTGCTGGGATCCTATGATCCCTGCTGACTTCCTCCCCCTGGGGCAGGGGGCTGGACTAGATGATCGTGGCACCCTGGTTAAGAATCACTAGTTTAATTCCACTACATGCTATGAACAAATTACCATATTTACCTGAATCCAAGATATCCCTGATTTAAGATGACCACCCAATTATTAGTTTTCCATGTACAGAATTTAAGTTTGTTATAATTTTCCACGTATAGACTAACTGGAGGATTTTCTTAAATTCGTCCCCACCAGAACTGCAGCAGGGAAAGTAGTGGAGCATCAGGGAGCAGGTGATGGGAGAGGCAGTAAAAGGAGCAGTGGGGGACAGGTGGTAGGGGGCAGGTTATGTGGAAAGGCAGCAGTTTAGAAGAAAGTGGGGGGGGTCAGACATCTTGCCCCTGCTGCTTATCCCCCACCTTGTGCCTGCCCCCTCTTCTGTCTCCACCTTGTACCTGCCCTACTACTGTTCCCCCCTCCACAACCTGCCCCCTCCCCATCTGCCTCCTCCATCCTTGAAACCTCTTGCCCCTCCCTAGCCATTTACCTTTGCTCCATGCTAGCAAGTGCCATTCTCACTCCAGCCTGGGGCATGGAGCATGGCCCCAGTCAAAAAACTGCATACTTTACCCTACTGTGTCAGAAAACTTCCAATACAATACCCAACTACTGAGGATTCATGCAGAATAGAGCAAAGGTTGCTGAAAGATTTTTAGTATGGCTAGCCTAAACTATAATACATACCATAAATCATACACAATACTAGGTTTGTCTTTATCCTCTTATCTCACCTGATGGTATTGGATGAGTCTCAGTAACATTGACACTACCACTTCTTTCTGTGTTTCTAGTTCTTTTCCAGCATCAGCTTTATTTGCTCCTCTTAATACAAAGAGATCATGGACAATGGGTTGCAGAGCTGGTATAGCTAAAAAGAAAAATATTCACAAATTTCATATTTCAGTAGTATACACAAAAGGTGCAACAGAAAATTCTAGTCCTTTGACTCCCGCACAACTTTTCTGCTATTAGTGGTCAACACGCTAGTGACAAGCTACTATAAATGCCTGGGGAAAGAAAAAAAAAACCTATGTAAGTACTATAACTCTTGTTCCTGAATTCTTATTAAAGAAGAAACCAAGTTGCAGGCATATCTGGCCATTACTGCTAGTATTAAATGCGTTTTAGAAAGGTGCACCTTTTCTCAGGACAATCTACACAAGCTTCCCCAAAATCTCTAGAATAAGGTTTTCCATACTCTTTTTCCAAAAGTAAGAAACATTTTTGTGGTAATTTACTATTCAAGTAACAAGCAAGCCCTAAATAAACAGCATTCTTGTTTTTTATAACTGTTTTTTAGTCATTTCAAATCAGATTCCTAAAAAACCTCTACGTACCTTAAGAAGAAATTATGTATTTCAATAGCTTTTACATTATATTATGTGTATACACACACATTAAATAAATTTATTTGTTTTATAGACAGACAGCTAGACAGACACACACTCTATAAATGTGTAATTTTACAAAGATTTGAAGAAAAACATTTAAATCCAATTTCTAATCTGCCTTTGTCCTGCTTGCTTTGTATTGTACAGAGCTGACAAAAGAATTGTATTGAATATCTAATAGGCAATACCCTTGCAACAAACTAAGAGCTACCTGTTTAAACCAAACATTAAGACAGATACTATTAAATTCAAAGAATTTATGAGAAAGTAAGAGACAATAAACAAGTACTTGGTAGAACAAGACAGATGATACACAAGACTCTCCCTCACTGCTCAAGCATGCTGTAAATTTATTAACTCCTTGTACTTAAAGTAATTCAAGTAGAAATTGCCAATTACATATAAATGTGACAAGTATATTTGCTTCTAATAAAAGTTATTTTTAAAGAGTTACACCAATACTATTTTATTATGTGAAAAAGTTTTAAGAGTACAACAATAAAACTAAGCAAAAATGTTTTCTGGACTGATCAGTATACACCCAGATTTCCTTAGCACGTTGTGTTTAATTATTAGTGAATTAGCATCAGTTCCACTATTTTATTTTTTAACTTACCATGTGTAACAGCTTTCCTTCCACTGGCCATGATACCATCACATAGCTGAATGATCTTTGGAATTCCTATTATCTGCTTAGAGTGATACCGCTCATAAGACAATAATACCAAGAAGAAAAAGATATTAGGAATAATTGCTTCAGACTCCCTTGAAAAAAAAAAAAAAGAAAAGAAAAGAAAAGAAAAGAAAAGGTGTCAATACACAAAACCTTTTATTTGATACATACAAGCAAGCCCTACTCAGAAGAATAATCATCATTTATGGTTTTATATAAAGATCATGAACAGTCTGTTTATGTATTCAATTGTTTGTACCTCTTAAAAAATAGTATTTAAAAATTATTTTTCTGAATTTCTCAATAGTAGTTCAGTTACTAAAAAGTTCATTCATATAAATACCAGAACTAATGCATGTGTGCGCACAATCAGTCCCGCGTCCACTGCCGATGCACAGATCTGGGTGGGACATGTGCCCCACCCTATGCATCATCTATGTCGCCCCCACCACACAGACTTACCTGTGGCGAACTGCTCTCCAGGCTGCCTGGCCGTGACATGCATGTGTGCACTCTTATGCACATGGTGCCCCACCCCCGTCGGATCGCCCTCCTCCCACACCCCTCAGCCCCAAACAGCCCCTTGCAGGCTGGAACTCTGCTAGCCTGCAAGCGGAAACCCACAGTTTCCCATGTTTTTCTCCTTTAAAGGAGAATCCACTTTTTAAATTTGTTGATCCATTTTTAAACTTTGTTTGCAACCCTTTCCTATATTGCAATCCACTTTTGAGTCGTGACCCATGGGTTGCAAAACTCTGTCTTAGAAGCATCGTAGAAATATGTAGTAACCTGTGATCTGTACTGTAGATGCCAGGGTAGATTTGCACCTTGTAGACTAAATGAATGTAAAACAAGAGACCTCTCTCTATACAACAGATGACACAGTAATGCAAACCGCATCAAGTCACACAAAGTACAGCTTTGTATAGTACTTCACATCATATTTATGAATATTATTTGCCAAACTGATATCCCATACCTGAACTGTCCTACTTCAATGTATTCAAACTGCTTTAGCACAAATCCAATGAACACCTACAAAGGATAGAAGCAAGCATCAAGAACTGCATACAGCAAACAAAAATAGGTCTCACTAATTTCTATCTAAAAGCACTAAGGAAAAAACATAAGGAAACTGAAAAGCACCAGTTTGCACAGGGCCCTGGGACATGTCTTGAAGACACAGTCCTACACAAGTATCTACGTAATGCTTTTTCCTTTATAACAAAAAATCTTTTAGTGGAGTCAGCTCTGCTACTTATTAACATAGCGTTTACAAGCTAAGCTCCAAATAGGAAAATTCTGTGAACCAGAAGAGACCCAAGCATTTTCAGTGGTTAAATCATCAACTTTATCTATTTCAACTAAATAGAAAGTAATACTGATGACCATTTTTTTCTTTGTGTATTTACAACACATACTTGTTTATCAAAGTTAATTTCATGCAATCATTTGGTGTTATCTACTTGCCATTCCCTCTCTGAAGTTTGATAAAATGTTTATAAATTAATGTTTTTGGAGATTTAAAAAACATTCACCCATTTACTACTGTATGATAGCCAGAAAGTGAACTTGATGAGAAAGATCATAAAAATTTTCACAAGGTGAAGATTTCATAAAATTCCATCATAAATCCCTGTTTTTGAAAATGATGCTCCTATTGATAGGACAAGTATTATGCATCTTCCTTTAAATAATTAAACATTTTAACTTAGCAATGACCCTTTAATCTACTAAAAACTGGCAAAAATGAAAGGAGTAACTAACCTGATCTGAATCTAGAAGACAGTAGTTAACACGTAGTTGAACCAGTTGTGCAAGCAGGTCTAAAACCTGCCTCTGCAGCTGTACAGATGTTGTTGTAGTGTACTGCTTTAAAGCTTTTATGACAAGAGGTTCAAATAAGCGGATGTGATTGTGAATAGCATTCTATAAAAAAGAAGAAAATAAAAGGTTAAAAGGCACCTCTCATTTTTATAGTATTCCAATTCAAAGTGAAACTGCTGAATAACTAAATTTGGATGGAAAGGAAAAAAAAAATGTATACATTTTAAATTACCTTGTCAGCACGATGTTTTGTTACACTTGAAATGCTAGTTTTCAGTTGTGTTGAAACTTTCTGCAGTACATCAAACCATCTATCAAAACAGAGTAGAACAAAAGAAAAAGCTTGAGAAGCTTCACATGCACACATTTTGTTTACCATTAAAGTTGCAAGTATTTTGGAGAACATAGGCATATACATGCTTCCCAATTTTCATCTGCAAGACATACTGTACATCAAGGGTAACTGTAATACATAAATGCACTTCCCTACTTTGTTCCAACAACATTTGCAGCCTGTTCTGCACAACCTGCCTACCTAGGAGTGAGAAAAAAAAATTATTCCTTTGCCTTTCTGCTCAGGCCAGTAACAAAAACACCAATATGTGAACAATAAAAGCTATCTTAAATATGAATAATTATTACCCTACTATAATATAAACAAATATAAAACTAATATCATATTATATCATTACAAAACCTAATGTTCTAGTGCAACTAATTCATGAAGTACTTCTGTGCTACCCAAAATCCAAGATTATACCAGAGCTCAAGTTAACAAACCCAATGATAAGGTATACCACTTTAAATACAATAGAAAAGTGACAGCTTTTGACAACTGATCATCATTCTGAAATTTCAATGTGAAAAACTAATTTAAGTATTTCACAAGAGTTCAGTACTCTTAACTATATTAGGATTTACTACATTCCATGGAAACAAAAGCTCACATTAATCCACTATACCACAAAGGAAAACAACAAAGTTACCCTGAGGCATCGTGTTCCTGCTCAGCCTGTACCATGTTCCTTAGACTAGCATCAGCAAGTGCCTGCGTAAAGTGTGTATAAGGTGCCATGAAGCAATAATGATAGAGGCCAGGCCTTAAATTTGAAGAGCCTAAGCGCTGAGCTTTGCCTTGAGATTTGCTGGGGTTGGAAGACAAGCCATCGTATTGAGATGCCAAGTTTGTCCCAAATAAAGTCTTCAGCAACTAAGGAAAAGTTTTGGGGAAAAAAATAGTTAGCATTTCTGGAACAGTATAGCTTTAGTCCCATCCTCCCAGAAATCATTTTATGAATGAAACTGTCACATTGCAGTATTAATTTTTTTCCAACTGTGCAAGAAAAAGGCTGAAAGTACCATTAAAAGTACAGAAAAAAAATGCACAATTTTTTCTTGCAGACATGAAAACAGTTTAAGTTAATAATCCCCAAATCTTTAAACCAATGAAGCGATCAGTTAAAACAAGATATCCCTCCCCTCCCTTCTCAACTCTATTCCTTCCCATGGTTTTAAAATAATCGAGACATAAAATTATTCTGATCTTGTACAAGCCTAAAAGCTAAACTTAACTTTTCTAAACTGAAATAGGCCTTTGGCTAAAGTACGTTCCCAACCTAAGTATGTATCTACATTAATTTTGGTAACCCAAACTAACAAAACTGGAATCTGTTCTTATTTTAAATGTGGTTTCCGGTAATTGTTAAATCTGCTTTTCACCCAGCTAAACGGAGGAACTTCATAGATTGTAAGGCTGGAAGGGACCTCGGAAGATCGGGTCCAGCCCACTGCACCAAGCAGGGAAGATAACTAGGGGTCACGTGACCCCAGCGAGGTGACTGTCTAGTCTCATGGCACATCTTACAGGACACGACAGCTGTTTAGAAAAACTATTCTAAAGGCAGAAGGATCTCCAAAACAAAATTACATACAGCATCAATGAAAGCAACCTAAAAAGATCTACTTTATACTCCACTGCAAGTTCTCTCAAAAGTAGTTTCCCTCCCACTATCTTCCTTAGGAAGAAAGTAGTGAACAGAGTGCACCATCCAAAATAATTCTCCCCAAAATGCCAATAAAAATTACTCCTTACTTGTTGCACACAAACTGTTGCCATCATTGGTTCTCTACTGAAGCAGGATTTCAAATACCCCAAAATCTCTTCAACACACTAAAAAAAAAATGTTAAAGGAAAAAGAAAACCAGTAATGTAATCATATTTCCCAGGACAAAACACTGTAAAAAATGTAATATATTTTGAGGCCAGATACACAGACTTAGGTTCCAGAAAGTGGGCTTACATCCAAAACATGCTCAACAGCTACCAAATCCTGAAGGCCTCAAAACTCACAAAGCACCCCTCCCTAAGCTGAAGGACACTTAACATTCCCCATGTATTGTCCAGGAAGTTAAACTAACTATGAGACTCAATTACAGTCCAGGGGACAGATGCCTGCAATTCCCTGTTGTGCACATGCCCAAGACTTCACAATATGAGCAATTAGGCACCCAACTCCTGCCCAAGCCCCACTAAGACCCATAAACTAGGCAGAGTAGCACTTGTGTCTCCTTGGTTCCTGCTCTAAGGAGACACAAGCACTTGTTTTTTATCCCATGAACTCTTAACATAAAAGTTTAAAAACAATCCAAGGACTCATGATTACAGCAGGGGTAAGCCACCCCTGGCACGTGCCAGAGCATAGCACACAAGGCCATTTTGCTCAGCATGCCACAGCTGGCCCGGGCTCTGGGCAATTGCCACCACCGAGCACAGGCTGCTCACAGCAGGCAGCTGGGAGGCTGTAAGCCCCGCTACAAGCACCCCGGTTTCCATGGCTGGCAGCAGCTGCCAAGAGCCCAGGCTGGCTGTGGCAGGCAGCCAGGAGGCTGCAAACTGTTTCACTGAGCTCCGTGGCAGCCGCAGCTACATGCACACATCTGGGCATATGGCAGGGGAAGGGCCAGGGTTGTGGTGCCCTTCCTGGGCAGTCTTCTTGGAGGCATGCCCGCACCCACAGCTACTATGGAGCCTGGCTGGGGCTCCAGAGCCCAGTGAAGCCGTCTGCAGCCTCCTGGCTGCTTTCCACCACTGGCCTGGGCTCTGGGCAGCTGCAGCAGGCAGGCTACAGACACAGCTGCATTGGGCTCTAGAGTCCTGGCAGCAGCTCTGTGCCAGCAACAACTGCATGCATGCCTTGGCCCAGTGTGGAGAAGCAGCTGGGGCAGCACAACCCCGGTCCCTCCCCCACGGTCCACCTGGAGGTGTGCGTGCAACCGCTGCCAGCAGTGAGGATCACATCCCACACAGCCCCTCGGCAGGCTGCCCCTGAAAAGCCAAGTCAAGGCATGGGTCAAGGTTGGGGTGTTTTTGGCACTCTGGCTAAAAATGCTGCCAACCCCTGGACTACAAGATGGCCTCTCCCCTTAGATGAATGCCCTTGCTTGCTGCCCACCAACTACTGCCATCATTGATTCTTCAGGCTAGCCAGGCTCTCTTGCTTACTGTGTTTTCTAAAGCAGAAACAAAAAAACCCACACCCCTTCACATAAGAGAGACACCTTGTTTTGGAAAGGCAGTACGAAGGAAAAAAGATTTTTCCAGAGCCATGGCCAGAGGCCGCATGGAACAGGAAGAGAATCTACTCTTCTGTGTCTCTCTCTCTCCTTCCAAGCTCCACAGCTCAAGCTTCAACCTCATTGTAGCCACTGCTAACTGGCAGCAGCTTTTGGCTGAGCAGCTGTGACAGGGTTCAAGCTTGAGCAGTGGAACTTGCAAGGAAAGAGTGACTAGCCTAAGCAGCAGGCATCACCCCTCCTGCATGCAGCTGGGAAGGGGGGAAAGAAAGCACAACTCCAAAAAGAAAAAAAGAGCTTCTTTGCTGAAAACATGCATGACAACTTTGGATGGCTAATTTTGTAGGCAAAGGTGCATGAGGTATCAGAGGAAATACAATGTTCTTCTGGCCCTAAGACTTGCATTTCTTCTTGCAAACTACAACTTCAACAAAAGGCTTGAAGCTGAGTGGTCAAGCAACTCTCCCAGAAGGTGGAAGAAGTAGATCTGAACCCTGCCAGATTAAGGAAGGCCTGTAACCCTCGTTCCCCACTGTCCAGGTGATTACTACTTAAGTTAATATATAATAAGGTTGTCCAACCAAGTACCAGCCCTTGCTCCTTCTGTAGCACTTACATTTTCAGCAGAGTGAGACCTGCTCAGAGCCTTCAAAGAACACTTGTAGGTGTCTGCCCTTGAGAAGCCTGGGTCTTTGACTCAGCCCTTTAAGTTCTAGCATGGCAGGAGTTCAAGCACTCCCCCTTCTGTAGGGTAGCTCTAGATGGCAGCTTCTCAGCACACAAGTTTTTGTATCACAGCTCCTTTAGAAACAGCCAACTCTCCCAATGTGCTGTATGAAGATGAAAACCTAAGCACCTCACTTTTGATTCTATTCCAATGATCAGACACCTGAAAGTTAGGCACTGTGACCTGTGAAGCCACAAACACCTTTTACAAGGCTTTACAGAAGACCCAACTAGTTTAACTCAGTTAAAACAAGGAGAGAAAATATCATACTAAAAGGAAGCTTCCCGATTTTCTACACTTAATGGGATTACAGTATATAACAATTATGTAAGTATAAGTGAGAATGACAGGGACAAAAAAAAAAGTCACTGTATTACCCTTAAATTATCCAAAATTGTTCATCTTTTTTTACTACCTGACAACACAGCAAGCCTACTGACAGCATTTAATTAGTTAAGCCACATTCCTTCATTATGGTTCACTTACTATGCTACCCAGCATACTAACAATTAAACACTTACAAAATCATCATGACTTTCAAAGGCAAAGGCAGTGTCCTTGGAACGATGATCAGAAATTTTAGAAATATTAATTCCACCTACGTGACACTTAGTTTGGACAAACAACAATTTTCATACTCAGCTATAGCACGTACATGAAGTTCATGATGACAAAAGTGAACTCATGCATTTTGTGACAAGTGGAGACACCAGGTGATTTTGTGCCCCAGTGTCTCTTCAGTTCTTTTGCTTGACATGTGAGCAAGTTTTGATTCTTGGGAAGATAGGTTGTTGTGGTGCTAGTCTTCGGTTCATCTATGGAGTAGTATCCACTACCCTCCAAATATTACAAATGTGCCTAATTTCTGAAGCTAAACTACACACCTTTCCAATGTCTTGAAGAGTTGCAAGTTCCAAAATTTGAGAGAGGACATCCAAAGCAGATCGCAGGAAACATCCGAACTTTTCATTAGTGTTCTGAAGATCCAGTGTGACCTTGGCAGAAAGTGAGAAAGTGAGGAAAACCAAAGACTTCTACCTAACAAGTTTATTGTATAAAAGGTAGATATTAAAGGAAGGCAAGATGGGTGTTGGGACAGAGCAGTCTTTGGCCCCCACTAATGCTATTCAGTCAGCAACTGTCATTTGTAAGAGCTCTTCAGTCGATTCAAGAATGGCTCTCAAACATTTTTAGTCCAATTATTCCTTTCATCTGCATAGCACTGCCCAAAAGTAATGTTCAGCTCCCTAACTATACGGGTGGTTCAACAAAAGATATCACCAAGAAAATCTTGCACAGTTCCTGGACTATCATGGCTACAACACTGGTACTCTGCTGGCACTTCTGTGCACTTATCACTGTCCCTTTACCTGCAATTAACAGCAGGAAGGCATTTACTGTACCTGAGCTGCTCAGCAGTAACTGTGCCCTGTACAAATTCTCACCCTGGGATGAGAGTCAAGCCAGGGCAGTTTATCCCCAAATGAAATGGGGGCCAGTTATCCTGGTGCAGCTTTCACTTACTGTGGGGTAGAAGCAGACATATGAACAGTCACTAGAGTCTGCTGACATGGTAAACTGCCACCCCAATACCTTTACCTGTGGCCACAGATAGTAACAACCGCCTTATGGTAAGCGCAAGTTAAACCAGAGCAACCTAACCCTAGTTCAGGTGTAAACAGCCTCCACTCGTTTCAACAACAGGCAAGATCTCAGGGACAGTTATGATGGAGCTGTGGTGCAGCAGTCAGTCCCTCCTACTCCTCCCTCTCCTCATTAACTGCAGGTTCAGGTGAATTAGGAGCTTTGAGCTGTTTATGACCCCATCTGTAATTGTAGTGGCTGGGTTGCAAGCAGCAGCCAAACATTGTTAAAAGCTTGCTGACACTCGCCTTAGAACAGTGACTGATGACAGGAAGGGTGCCACAGAGACTCTTCCCAAAGGCCATTCAAAGCTATTTCCAGCTGTTCAGCATATGACCTTATGGAGATCTAAATCTTTCCCTCAAAGTTTCAGTACTCTTTTCTCCACCTGCCTCCTGAGATTTCTCCAGCTGAGGATCCTTTACATCTTTATAGGAGACTCAAGGGACAAGCAGAACCCCAAAAAGATGCTCCTGGACAAATCCGAGTGCACAAGGCATGTATGTACCCATACTGAGAAATAAACTTCATACTTCAAGATGAAAGAAAAGTAAAGTTACTGTCTGGTAACACTAGCCAAAAAATGTTTACTGTTGTATTTTACATACCACATTTACCCACATGACATTGCCTTGTACCTTATAGTTAGCATGCGTAGCTTTTAAGACATCATATAACTTGAGATATGATGGAAGATGATAGAAACTGCCCAGCAAGGATGATTTGCTTGTTGGAGCAGGTCCTGGAGTATCAGTTTGCCTAGCAGCTTTTTAAAGAAAAGGAAAGTTATTTAGATAGACCACCATAATACAACAGTAAGTTAACTTTGAAATGCATGGTAAAATGATTTAATATGCACATCCAAGTTACTAGAAAAAATATGTCTGTCCAAATGATTCATTCTTATAAAACAGTAACTAGCTTTCATGAAAATTAGTGACAATAATCCAAGAGAGACCCAAGGAGGACTTACTTGGGTTCCTTAAAGTTATTCTAAAAGAAGAATTTATTTTGCTCCTTTTAAAATATCTAAAGAAAATCCTTAAAGCTTTTATATTCACTTTAAATTTAGATTTTTGCTTTCCATGAGCACCCAATATCTGTGCTCAAAAGAACAGCAAAGCAAGCATTCAGCTTCAATCACTGGAGTATGAAGACAAATATTTTCATTTTTAGTTTTAGACTTCAAATCAGCAACAGCACTGGTAAGAACAGCAAGAGGCAGAAATCCACACTGCTTGCAAATGGATGGATTTTTTATGATTCTCTACAAAAAATATTTTAACCATTTCCCAATCCACGCAAACCTCTTCACAATTAACACTGGCATTCCACGGTATGTTGAGTTACACAACTAAGATTTTCTTCCTAGTCCACCATGCATACACATAAACAGACATGTACATCTGTCAATCTCCATACCTGGATTAGTTTCACTACCCTTTTTAGGACTCATCGGTACAGATGTCTGTTCAACTGAATCTCTCTCTTTCCCTTTCCGCCGAATTGGACTTAGAGAAGGTGGGTTTGTGAGAGAAGGTAATGCTGCCTAAAATATAAATATTTGGCAGTGTGAGAGTCATCTTCTAAACACTTTATTTTTCCAAACTCAGAATACATATACAGGCATACACTCTTTAATTACTCCTGCCTATATGCAACAATTAATTGCATGTAAAAATCTCACTTGTTTTATGGAGCCAAGACATGCCTTTTTTGAAGAGAAGGAAAGCTGGGAACGCTAAACAAAAGAGTGATTACCAGAAGTTTCTTTCAAGTGCAAGTAAAGGAACACAAGAAAACCCATATCCCTAACATTTAGGAAGAAGCCAGGAGTTAAACAAGGCAGCCTTAAGAGTACGTAGTTCAGACTCAAAATTTAGCCTTGATTAAAAGAAACGTAGTGACTTTTTCAAACATTATAAAATAAAGCTATTCTGCATATCCATGGAACACAAATAGCCTCTCTTTAGACAAAATTAGTTTGTGGTGCATAATATGCCAGCTGGACAGATCAAAAGTACCACATAACTGTGTCGAATGAATATATTAGCCCAATGCTCAGTTCCATATATTGGTTTCACTGGGTAGGGACCTACCTAAAATTGCAATGCAGCAGCATCTTTAATTTCGCTCTTTTAGCTGCACGCCCTGCACCCTCCCCACTGAGTGGCTGATGCAATTAATGTCAAGGTTTTTACCTTTCAGCCACTCAGCAAGGGGGGGGGGGGGGCACAGTGAAAAGAGTGAGATTGAAGGCACCACTGCACTGCAAGCTTCCACCGCAATTCAGGTAGGTCCCCATCTATGGGTCTAGGTCAAAGTCTTTGCTCAAGTACTGAAAACCTTTAATAAATTAATTCTAATTACTTAAAAGATCATTTATTTATTCTCATATAAATATGAAAAGAGTGCTACCAGAAGAATGAAAATGTCTGTGAATAAGGAAGGCTTGTGAGTGTAGTAGGCAGAATTCACACAAAAGACGTGAATGTACTTTACCATTTTTGCATTTGATTTTGAAAGCAGCAAACTCATTTCTTTGACTTTCCACTCTCTCAATCTTTTCTTCCATACACACAAATAAATTAAAAAACCCAGTAATCTAACTGAGCCATTCCTCAAAGAGGCAGATAAAAAAAGAAAGGACTTATTTAAAAGGTCTTTTCAAAATGTAGAAATACTATTGGAATAAATTTATGAAGGAGAAGAGCACATTAAAAGGGATAGGTAATTAAAAATCCTATTCAGGGAGCTTCAAGAACAGGACTGATAATATTGCCAGAATATATGCACTCATGAAACAGGCTAGAGGTAGAAGGATATTTCCCATAAGGAGAAAAAGTAGTTTAAAAATGTCTAAAACGACACCACAAACAATGTACAATTCAACAATGTTACTAACACAGAAGACATTTTCTAGGTCCCTACCAATGTTACAGGCAACCCCCACTTAACACGGTGTCGATTAGCACTATTTTGCTATAGCACTCACGTAAAATGGATACCTAATTCCACCGAGCACTCGGCCAGTTTTGCTACAGCGCTCAGTGGAATCAAGGAGTTTCGGCAAGAGGGTGGGGCAGCAGAAGCGTAGGCCCAGGCTGGCATGTGGTACCAAAGCAGGTAGGGGGGTGGGGAAGAGAAGCGGTGGCAAAGGAGGGGAGGAGCAAGAGACCTGCACCGGTGCCTGTGGCCAGGGCTGCACCCACAGCGGAGCAACAGG